TCAATAGTGTAGAAGTATAAATAGCTTAGAGACGAAGTGACATCTGTTCAGTGATTTTGCTTACCTAAATAAGATTAAAATTTCAAGTCACAGAAAAAAAATGTCAAGTCACATGTTAGGTAGTAAAAAGAACACCATCCTTACAGTGGAAATGAGATAAAATAACTTAAGGCCATATTCAATTTGCTGTTATTCATCCTGATATAATAGTGCAATGGGACAAGTGGTGATAGCCTCTCAAGGAAAGTCTTTCTGAAAGAGCAGTTTTGAAGAAAGAAAGAAAAAAAGAATTCTAACGAGCCATGTGACTAAGAAGTAATTTTCAATAACAGTATATAATATGGCTGCATACTGAGCTGGATGATGAAAGACACAATGTTTTCTTCCTTAGAAATAATAGTTTCTAAACATTAGTCTTTCTCTGTGGTCATTTATATATAGATAAGTATGTGTGTATGTATATATACATGTCTATGTTCCACACCTAACGTGGGGCTCAAACTCATGACCCTGAGATTAAGAGCTGCATCATGCTCCACCAACTGAGCCAGCCGCGGGGCCCCTGGTATCTTTTTTTTTTTTTTTTTTTTAATTTCTATATAGTTTCTAGTCTCACATCTCTTCCCTAGAAAAAAACAAAAATGAACTCAGCCTTTCAATATTCTTCTAATACTTTGAAACAAAGTAATCATTCAAAACAAGAATCTTCACTGAGAGTGTTTAAGAATTTAATTGTGCATTTGTTACTTTGGGACAAACTAAAGGGCTGGCCAGGGAGGGAGATGGAAGGCATGTTCTACATTTTGACTTCGGTAGTAGTTATACTGTTCACTTCATGATTATTTGTTAAATGTATATGTATGTTTCACGCACTGTTCTATGTACATATTTTACCAAAAAAGATAACATATTTTTAAACAGCTTCCTTAAGTAAATTAAACAAAGATCTCATTTAAATTTATTTATTCTAACTGTCCTTTTTTAAGAGGTTAAGGGGAAGAGATGGAACAAAAGCAAAAATGAATGAAATATTTTAGTTACTCTCATTTACAGCTTTCAAGAAAAGTCTCAATGTAGCTAGATAGATTTAAAACAGATTTTCAAAGCTAAAACCACTTTTCAAGTAAAATACTAAAAATCAATATGGATATTTTTTTTTTGAGAGAGAGAGAGAGAGTGAGAAAGAAGAGAGAATCTTCTTTCCAGGATGGAGCCCTGATGGAGGGCTTGATCTCATGATCCTGAGATCATGACCTGAGCTGAAATTAAGAGTCGGGACGCTTAACCTACTGAACCACCGAGGCACCCCCAATACAGTTAATTTAAAAGCACCAATCCCCTCTTTCTCTAGATTCAAAGATTCCTATATATAAAATGGAAAAGGCACAAATTCATCTCCTTTTTACTTGGTTTATATTTTCCAGGAGTTTTAAGTGCCTAAAGAAATGGCACTTTCATGATGGTCTTTGATTCTGGACCTATAGCATTTTCTTCCTATTCCTTCCCAAATACTGTAACAACTGTGTCTTTATTTGTACCACATCACCTCCTCTAGTGAGTACAACCCAGGGCTCTAATATCTCCTCTTCACTCTGTAGTGTGAAGCTATGCTTTTCAACAGTTAATACTGCACTCCTGTTCAATCTGCTGACAGCACAGTCTTGGAATCATGATTCTTCTGTTGCTTCAGGTCAATTCAGAGGCCCCCCAAACAGACTGCCATTAAGACCACTTCTCTCTCTGAGGCTGGCAGTTTCTGACTGTCCCACTTGTGAGGGAGCAGTTATTTCTGGCAGTACATCTTTAGGTCAGCATGATCTCTCCAATCACAAGTTTATCACTGCCTTATAGATAAACAAATAGCATCTTTGTTTCTATATCTTAGATTAGAAATGGAAACTCTCTGAGGGGATATTACCCTATGAATTTGGCCCAGGTCATCTTCATGAGCACATTCTCCTTTCAGAGCCATCTGTTCATCTTCATAAAAACCCATCACAACTACATATGCTCCTTTTCTGGTTTGAAAAACACAGGAGAATCATTCTTTACTTGTCAGTCCTTTCAAAGTCCTTCTTAAGGTAAGAGAATTCTTATTTTAGCTATGAATCACTCAATACTGGTTTATTACAGCTGCAACAACTCTCAAAAGAGCCATACAAAAGAAAAATGTGGCTTCTACCTCCCAAAGTCATTAAAGACTTTTTTCTTTCTTATTAAGGCACCCAGAATGCATAATATTACACCCAGCCAAAGGGACTGAATTCCCTTCATGGGGGAGAAGAGCAGCTGGCTGTTACTTATTACATTCTTAGAGCAACGTGTGGTGACTTGCTTTCTCCTTTTGTTTCTCTTTGAATAGTAGATGAAGCTGATTTTTTTCTAGGGCTGTTTCTCATCACCAGCATTCCTGATCCTTGACCTAAGCAGCTGTTAATATGCTACGCACATATGCTTGGGCTCTTGAACAACCAATGCAGTTGACCTTTTGGTTTCCTCCACGTCAGCTCCTCTCTTGTTAGTGCAATTGATGTTTTCTCTTTCTAAAAATAATAATTTTATCTGATACAAAACTACATATATAATTCATTGTTTTTTTTGGAATCTTTTTTTCCCCAAGGGTGTCAGGACCCATGGGTTCTTATGTTCTAATTGAGAAAGGCACGTTCATTCATAGTAATTCCAAAACGCAGACTACCATTGCTACTTCTGCGTTTGGGCCTGGGTAATTGTTGGAGGCCACATTTTACCTTTATTCTCAAGGAAAACTGAATTCCTTTGGTGGAATATAGGTGAAAGATTATATTTACTGCAGCTAATGATTAGAAAGTAAAATATTAATGTATCAAAAGACACTTTGTTCTAACTATCTGTGTTCAAAGGAACCTCTCCTCCATACTTGTAACTCGCCCCCATCATTTTGTATTATAATTGCCTATTAACTGTCTGTACCCGCCAAAGACAGGAAGCTCCTGGAAGGTAGGGATTGTATGATAATGACTATTTTATCAGCAGGGTCTGGCAGATGGTATACAGCCAGTAGGTATCTCTGATGGTGTTGGTGTTACATTCAATTCAACGTCCAATTCTTAATTAGTCACAGTTTTAGATGAACTGGCACACACCATTGCCCCAACATTTATGAAACGACTTCTGATCAGATATTATTACAGTTCAAACAGATATGCCCAACTTCAGATACATAATGATCTCTACCTAACACTGAGCTTCTTTATGGGAGGCAGCAGAGACAATGCTAACTTGTGATTTGAATCCTTTTGCTCTCATTTCAGACTCAGCTACTATCGGTAACCTTTGGCAAGTCACCTGCACCATGTTGGATCTGTGCCCTTAGAAATTAAAGTGGGAAAGTGAATTAAGTGGTCTCTAAGTCCCTAGCTGACCCCAGCTCTAAGACTGTGACGAGGTGTGAACCAGTTAGGGTACTACTAACATAGCAAGCCCTTGTTAACACTAGAGGGAGCTGCGCCCATGCCATCACTAGTGGGGAGGAAACTTTCAAGGCAAAGCATCTTTAAATTGGAAGACAGACTTTTCTGAATGAGAGAAATTAAGTTTCAGGTGAGAGACCCATGCTGTTCATATAGCTACTGCACAGACTTTCTGCCATGACCTCCCTCTTGCTGATGTCAAAGTGCCCCACACTTGACTTTCATCAGCACACCCTCTGAACTCTAATTCGGATCCCAAAAGAACCAAGTTGGCTTGAGTCATTCCTATAGATTTCTTTCCCCATTCAGTCTACTTTTCTTTCTTAATCAAACTAACAACAATGACAAAAAAGCAAAATAACTAAAAGGCCCAGAAAATTAGACAGAGGAAGAAAAAGATTCATATCACACCAAAGATGTGGCTTAGGAAGAATCGGTAAATGGCTGCGGAATTAATTAGCAGCTTTCCACTCAAACCAAAGCTAACATAGCTACTTTGAAATCAAGAAAACTACTCAGAAAGAGGAAAGACATCAAGGAAAAGAAGGAATCGACACAGCTCTGCAGTGTAGGAGCCTGAATGCCTGCCTAGGAGTGGATGCAGTCACTGCTCTGCTGGGTTCTGTGGTATGAAGTCTGCAGGTGCTGAAGTGAGGTCATGAATTAGAGGTAACGGGGTCACATTAGGCAGCTGGCAAGAAAAGTGTCAAGTGACCAGATAAGGCGATGGACGATGAGGTGGGGAAGGAAAAAGAAAAAGCATTTTTAAAGTTAAAGCTTACTCTGAAGTTATATACACACATTCTCCACCCAGCTCTAAAAAACATCTAATGGCTTTGAAAATGTATGACCTAAACGTCTTACAGAACAAGTGAAATGAAGAATTAAAAACCTCTTCGTTGCATCAATTTATGTTTATGTTTGCCCAGAGACACAATGACATGTTAACCTGATAGAGAGGGCATATCATGGATATTACAGAATGTGGTCTGTAGGAGAAAGATAAATGCAAACCTGAAGAACCCTTTTTATGGGAATTTCATAGATTACTTTAACACTCAGGAAGCAAAGCTTCAACAGTCAGAGACCGACCGCCTACTTTTCAGACAGAGGCTATTCCTGAGTAAAAACAAATTACAAAACAACTTTAGAGAGCAGTAGGTGAAGAGAAAAGTCTACTAGAACAAAACAATTCTTTTTCACTTAAAAAATGGAAACTCAGACCTCCAGAGGTAAAATACAAAGTAAAACTCACCATGTTAAAATCAACCTATTGCTATCACTCCAAGTAGCTTGAATACTTGTTTCTTAAATCATCAATTTCAATTACTCTAAGAGATATCACAGCCTCAACAGATTCAAAAAAGATTTCCCTTTTCCTTTAGGACATTAAAAAAGTTTTTCTTTTTTAGCCAGGCTTTCAATCAATAATCCTTATGGGAAGCATGAGAAAAATGTACTTTATTGTTAAAAGGAGAACAAATTGTCTTCCTCTCTTATTTTAGGACACATGCCAGAGAATTTCCAATTCACCTGATATGTACTGACCTTTAAAATGTTTCGGCCATCAAATGATTCTCTTTCCTTGAAGATATATTTGCCATCCGCTGTGTAGAGATTGTACCTGCCTTCAGCTGTAAATATATCAAAGATAATGTTAGAAGAAAGCATGGGTTATTTACGCTTGTTTCCTTTTGGGTTTCTATAGGTACAACTAGTAAAATGTACTACCTGGAAAGTGGTAGAGCAGGAGGGAAAAGCAGCAGGCTAAATCAAGAGGCCCATCCAGTCTCAGCTGTCATCAATTCAATATACATTTATTCATTCAACACTGTCCAAGTACACGAGATAGGTTATGTATGTAATTAGCTACCGTCTTTTTTTTTTTAATTGAACTATAGTTGACATCAATGTTATATTAGTTTCAAGTGTACAACATAGTGACTCAACAATTCCATACATTACTCAGTGCTCATCATGATAAGTGTAGTCACTATCTGCCATATACCATCTGTCATACATTATTACAATATTATTGACTATATTTCTTCCCTATGTTGTACTTTTCATCTCTGTATATTATTTTTTAATTTTTAAATGTTTATTTATTTATTTATTTATTTTTTATTTATTTTTTAATTTTTTTTTTAATGTTTTATTTATTTCTAGGAGAGAGAGAGACAGCGTGAGCAGGGGAGGGTCAGAGAGAGAGGGATTCACAGACTGAAACAGGCTCCAGGCTCTGAGCTGGCAGTCAGCACAGAGCCCGACGCGGGGCCCGAACCCACGAACCGCGAGATCATGACCTAAGCAAAAGTCGGACGCTTAACCGACTAAGCCACCCAGGCGCCCCAAATGTTTATTTATTTTTGAGAGAGAGAGAGACAGAGAGAGAGAGACACAGAGACAGAGTGCAAGCAGGAGAGGGGCAGAGAAAGAGGGAGACATAGAATCTGAAGCAGGCTGCAGGCTATGAGCTCTCAGCACAGAACCCAATGCAGGACTCAAACCCATGAACAGGGAGATTATGACTTGAGCCGAAGTCAGATGCTTAACCAACTGAGTCACCCAGATGCCCCTATTTTATAACTAGAAATTTGTACCTTTTAATCCCCTTCACCTATTTTGCCACCCTACCTCTCCCCTCCCCTCTGGCAACCACGGGTTTATTCTTTATAGTTATTAGTTGGATTCTATTTTTCTGTTTGTTTTTTAGATTCCACGTATAAGTAAAATCACTATGGCATTTGTCTTTCTCTGTCTGATTTATTTTACTTTGCATGATACCCTCTAGATCCATCTACGTTGTCACAAATGGCAAGAATTCATTATTTTTTATGGCTGAGTCATACTCTGTTGTATATGTATATACATGTGCATACAAAGACACACAGACAGACAGACACACACACACACACACACACACACCACATCATCTTTATTCATTCAACAAAAAGACAAAAAATAACAAGTGCTGGCAAGGACACGGAGAAAAGGGAACCCTCCTGCACTGTTGATGGGAATGTAAACTGAAGCAAAAGGAGAGAGTTTCCTTAAAGAAGTTAAAAACAGAAATACCATACAATCCAGTAACTCCACTTTTGGGTATTTGCCCAAAAAAAACAACAACACTAATTCAAAACGACGTGTGCACCCGTATGTTTACTGCAACATTATTTAGAATAGCCAAGATATGGAAGCAAAGTGTCCATCAATGGATGGATAAAAAAGATGTGGCATGTGTGTGTAAAATGAGCCATATTCTTAACCAAATTATATCTATTCTATGGATCTCAGCTCATTTACATAGTTACAGGTTAGGATTAGGTGATCTCCAAAGGTTCTTTGCAGTCTAAAAGCCCAAGATTTTGTATAAGCTATATGCATTTTAAAATATGTAAAAATATATAAAAATCTACACATTAGGGGCACCTGGGTGGCTTAGTCGGTTAAGCGTCCGACTTTCACTTAGGTCATGATCTCACGGTTCGTGGGTTTGAGCCCCGCATCGGGCTCTGTGCTGACTGCCAGCTCAGAGCCTGGAGCCTATTTCAGAGTCTGTGTCTCCCTCTCTCTCTGACCCTCCCCTGCTCACGCTGTCTCTCTCTCTCTCCTAGAAATAAATAAAAATATTAAAAAAAAAAAAATCTACACATTAAGTAGCCGAAAATGCTGGCAATCCTGATTTGGGTTGCAACCAACATGATGTGGGTTGGTTTAAGGACCCCTCCATGAGAAAAGCACCCTTCAGTTCAAAGTTATATTTACAGACATTCTACACAGAAATGCAGCAAATCTATGACCTTAGCCTCATCAAAGCTATGCTCTAACTCCTTGTGTTAATTTAGCATGCTTATTCCAAAGGACATAATTTCAAAGGAAAGGGATGATAGGTAAGAAAGAGTAAAACACCTCATTCCTGTGTCCTTTTCTTTTTTTTTTTTTAATGTTTTATTTACTTCTGAGTGAGTGAGAGAGAGAGACAGCGTGAACAGGGGAGGGTCAGAGAGAGAGGGAGACACAGAATCCAAAGCAGGCTCCAGGCTCTGAGCTATCAGCACAGAGCCCGACGCGGGGCTCAAACCCACGAACCGTGAGATCATGACCTGAGCCAAAGTTGGGCGCTTAACAGACTGAGCCACCCAGGCGCCCCTCCTGTGTCCTTTTCAAGTACAAATTCATCATACAGACAAATCCAAAGTATAGAAAATTCAAAGCATCCTTTAAGAAGTATTTAACCCTCAGAATATTTCTAAGATATTTACCCTTTCCTGCCTACCAAGAGACACTCAAAAGTATTTCTATTTCCACTTTGGAATATGCTCTTTTATTATATACAGCTATGGAGACTACCAAGTCAGAACTGATAAAATACGTCCAGAGTGCTAACTCTGTGCATAATATATGTTAGCTAGCCAACTGGAATCACACACTGGTAACTTCTAATGACAAAGTATTCACTTAATCAAAGATCCCAATACCATGCATATTTCACAAATTAAAAACAGTCCCCTGTTAAGAGGTGAAACTTTGAATTCATGGACACTAAGTATCAATGAAAAACCAGTAGTGACATCTGAAGATTGAAATGTTTAATGACAGGTTCAAAATCTGTAAGTGGCACTAGCCATCAGGGAAATGCAAATCAAAACTAAAATGAGATATCACCTCACATCAAAAATGACAGCAATAACCAAAAAGATAGATAATAACCAGTGTTGGCAAAGAAAGAGAGACACTGGAGCCTTCACACACTGCTGGTAGGAGTGTAAAATGGTACAGCCACTTTGGAAAACAGTCTGGCATCATCTCAGAGAGTTACACACTGGTTTACCATATGACCCGAAATTTCACTCTTAAGTATATACCCGAGAGAAGTGAGAATATATGCCCACACAAAAACTTGTATGAAAATGTTCACTGTGGCATTAATCCCAATAGTCAAAGAGAAGAAATGATACAGATGTCCATCAACTGAGAAATGACTAAGATGCGGTACATCCATACAGTGGATGATTATTCGGCAACTAAAAGGGAACGAGGTATGATACATGCTATCACATGGATGAACCCTGTAAGCACGGTGTTAAGTGAAAGAAGCCAGTCACAGAGGATCACATATTGCATGATTCGACTTATACAAAATTTCCAAAGAAAAGGCAAATTTATAGGACAGAAAGTAGACTGACGGTAGGTGGGACTACAAGGTTAAGAAGTAAGGAGTCACATTGCCAATGGGGTTTTGTTTTGGAGTGACAAACGTGTTCTAAAATTGATCATGGTAATGGCTGCCTAACTCTGACTCTACTAAAATCACTGGATTATATGCTTTAAATACTGTATGAATCATATAGTATGTGAATTTATTTCAATGAAAGTGTTATATTCAAACCATCTCTCAGTAGGAAAGGATAACCATACTGCGAACACAGAATATTTTCTTACGTGAAGCTCTGGTGCTAACTGAATATAAATCTGGACCCACACAAAGATACAGGTTCCTGCATAATTCAACTCTTTTATGTCAAAAGGTTAGTTAATAATAGAGCATGCTAAGAGCTCTGAAGAAAGATTTAAGGACTAGGACATTTAAAGAATGTATTACTGATGGTATTAAATGTCTCATAAAATACTGTCTGTACCTGCACTGTCCAAATCAGTAGCCACCAGCCATATGTGATTAATTTAATTAATTAAAATTAATTAAAATGAAAAGTTCACTTTCTCAGTCTTCACTATCCACCTCCAAGTGCTCAATAACTACATGTGGATAGTGGCTACCATACTGGACATCACAGATACAGAATATAGATTTCTATCATCACAGGAAGTACTATTGGATGGTGCCGGATACAGTACAACTTCTGAACCAACCAATCTATTGTATACTCTAGAGTTCTGGAACTCTGTCTTTACATAGTGATGTTAAGATGTATATCACCTCAGAGGATCTAACTATGTTTCCAAACTTAAAACTGACCATCCAGAACAAATAAATACCAAAAACTCCTTTAAATGTTCACAAGGTACATACATTTATAAATATGAAATATTCCAGAAAATTTTTTTCTGAAATTCTACATATTCTTCTGCAATACTACTATCCCAAAGAAAGAAATGCATTCCATCAGAACAAGACCAAGTATAGAGCTTTGGAATCTATGAACTATCCGAATAAGAGTCTATAGGCTTTGACTAAGTCGTTTGAACCATTTTTTATCTCTGTGTTCCCAAAGGTAAAATAGTGCTTTATTTAGAAAAACCTTAAATAAAATACAATCTAACATCATAAAACATGAACGCTAGAACTAAAAATTGGACAGCTACATGTCTCTTAGTCCTACAATGACTCTAACCAAATGGGCTTAATATAAATGACTTCCAGTTGGGATCTTTGGTATATACTTGAGATAAATAAAAAGATGGACAGATGACCCTTAACAATGGGGATAAGGGGCACCAACCCCCATGCTGTTGAAAATTCATGTATAACTCTTGACTCCCCTAAAACTAAATTGCTATTGTTGACTGAAAGCCTTACTGATAATATAACCAGTTAGTTAATACATATTTTGCATATTATATGTATTATAGACTGTATTCATATAATAAAGAAAAAAGAAAATATTAAGAAAATCCTAAAGGACAGGAAATACATTTATAGTACATACTGTATTTATTGACCTGCATAGTTCAAAGCATGTTGTTCAAGGATCAACCGTACTTTGACAAAAAACGGGACACACAAACCATCCTAAAGTATAAATCTACAAATAGTTTATGGGGTCAAGTCCTGATGGAGTCCTCCTCTTTAGATTTTCTAAAACCAAGGTCAGGGTCCTAAACAAAGGAAATAAAACCCATTCCAAACACTTGTAATGCTGAATGTGCGAGAAAAGCTTTCACTTGGTGGGGAGAGGCAATGGAAAGAAAAGAAGAATCCTTTTTGAAATGTAGATTATTGTTCCAAATCAAGGGTTAAAACATGGCATTTTTATATAAAGGCTCAGATTCCATGAGTGGAAAAATTATTACTCTAATTCAAGGTTTCTCAACTATGGTGCTACTGACATTTCTAGATAGTTCTTTACTGAGGCAGGCTGTCTTGTACATTGGAGAGTTAAGCAGCATCCCTGGCCTCTACCCACTAGATGCCAGTAGCAAAGCACCCTTAACCCTTTAAATGTGACAACCAAAATGTCAGTAGACAATCCCAAATGACCTTGAAGGGGGCAAAACTGCCACTAGTTGAGAACCACTGGTCTAACCTTTACTTTTACTAATCTTCCTTCCTTCTTTCTTTAAAAAAAAAAAAAAAAGAAAGAAAGAAAGAAAAAAAAGGTTACCAAGTATTGCATGGGACACAGTTATACTTTTATTTATTTTTATACTTTTAAAGTCCACTCATTTATTTGGAGGAGAGAAGAGGCAGAGAGACAGCGAATCCCAAGCAGGCTTAGCACTGCCAGCATGGGGCCCAGTGTGGGGCTTGATCCCATGAACTGTGACATCATGACCCAAGCCCAAATCAAGAGTTGGACACTTAACCAACTGAGACACCCAGGAACCCCTGGGACACACTTATACTAAAATAATTATTCAGTGTTTACCTAAAATTTACCTGGCCATCCTGTATTTCTACTTGCTAAATCTGGCAACACTATGGGCAAAAGAAATCAAAGATCTAGAATGTCATGGTCCCATGCTAGATATGTCCCTGCTCACTTCCACTGTGCTCATCAAAACACATCAAAGGTTCAAAAAAAAAAAAGATATACCAGAGATTCTTTGATAGCCCATTTTGTTTGAACCCCAGGGATATCATAAGGCCTTACTGCTCACAAACTATGCTATAGTTCTATATTCGACTTACCATTGGGGTCTTTCCTGAATAGAGTGTTCATGACTGTAGCATGGAGTTTCACACTATTCCACTCTTTCACTATTAGTCCAGATGCCTGAAAACGTTCTAGCACTCGATCGACTAATTCTTGCAGCCTGGAGAAATTGAAGACAGAAGCTTAAAAATCTTAGTAAACCCCTGATCCCTGATTACTGATTCAATGTTTACAGAGCATCTGTTCTGGGCCAATCACTGTACAAGACCCTGCATAAGAGGAGGGAGAGAAGCCATCTGCCTTATGGAGCAGATGGACATGGAAACCAATAACTGTAATGTATCATGGTGAGTGTTAAGGGAGGGATCACCTGTACATGGAGAGGGCCAGGTCTTCCCAGGACATTTAAACACGACCTTGAAGCCTAGCATCTTGGGATAGGGCTCAAGAAGTCAGGCACAACAGAGAGGTACCTAAAAGGAAGTGTTTTATTGCTTCATCCAGTCACAGAACCTAAAGCTACCATGTAGGCAATATGCTTCCCAGGATCAAAAGAGGTCTGGTACACTCTAAGACATGTGCTCACTGGGAAAAAGCATGCACCGTGAAGATCCCAGTAGCCCTGGACACTATCTCAGCGTTTCACTGAGGCTGAAGCATAGTACCCATAAAGACAACTATAGGAAAATCCATAGGCTGCATGACTGTTCCTCATGTGGATTCCAGGTAGCTCTAAGCAGTAAGGGGTCCTGCAGTGGCCATTCATTCTAGCACCTCCACCAGAAACAATGCTTGCACAGAAGTTTTCATCCTACACAGGTGTTTTGCTCAACAGCTTGAAGAACTTCCTTTACCCTTTCTTGTAAGGCTATTCTAGTGGTGATGAACTCTTCAGCGTTTGATTCCTCTTTCCTTCAGTTCTAAAAAACAACTTTGCTGGTTATGCCGACAGGAGGGGTCAGTATCTCAGCAAGTGTGTGGTGAGCAGATCTTGGTCCAAGGCCTTAGGAAGCAGCCAGCTTCTGTGACCACCCACTCATCTGATGGTAAAATGCAGCCTGTGGCTTCTACATACTGTGCCAAAATATCCAATCTGAGATAGAGGCAGCTGTCACTGGATATGTGCCGAGTCCATATCAAATGACAGAGAAGTGCACCTGGTGGCAAGTGCAGGGAGCAGCCTGCACCTTTCAGCCCTTCCTTAGCCGTCTCTGAGATTAGTGCTGATGCTAACTGACATCTCTGGCCCCAAATAATCTTCCATTAGTCACTATTGTTCTAATGAGCAATAGACTTCACATTTTTTGGATTTCACATTTTTAGACATACGAGTAATACCCTTTTGGGTCAAACATCACCTCTTTTCCTGGATACAAGTAGCCCTGAGACATTTACAGAGCTCGGGAATCTTCCACTGCTTCTTGGGCCATGGCCCAAGTGTAATGGCCCACGGTATAAGTACTGTGGCCAATGAGCAGGGCTAGACAGGTTTGCTTTATGTGAGATATGGGTCAAGCCTACCCATGTGGCCCATTTTGTAGCCCATCTTGCCTTAGACAGAACACTGGCTGCAGCAACTCAGTTGCTTGAGGTCTGTGGACAGCAGCCTCTAGTACCCCTATCCCCCAGTGACCTTTCACCCATTTAGATGTGGGCAAAACAACTTTCTGCTTGCACTGCATACACTGCAGCAAGAGGAAATTGCTGTTACTATCCCCCAGAAATTGACTCGGGAGCACAAATTATTATTTTCCCTTTCATGGTTTGCAGGCTCCAAAGTTCCAAATTAATCTTCTTAAAATTCTAAGTTCTTTATCTTAATTGTTTTTTTATGAAATAGTGTCTACGAGCCAAAAAATATTTGTAACATCAGTAAGCCATAGTCAACATTATTATTTATAATAATAATAAAAATAATAAAATAAAACTCGCGTCCCTGCCACCAACTTCAGAACTACAACACAGGGCTGGCACTAGGGTGAAGCAAGTGAGGAAATTACTTTGGGCACAAAATGTAAGAGAGTGACAAAAAAATGCAGTAATCTAAATAAATCACGAGGTTTACTTTTTTATTAATTTATTTTTTAAAGTTTATTTATTTTGAGATAGAGGGGAAAAAGCATGAGTGGGGGAGCGGCTGGGGGAAAGAGAGAAAGAGAGAGAGAGAGAGAAAGAATCCCAAGCAGGCTCCACACTGTCAGTGCAGAGCCCACTATGGGACTCGAACTCAAGAACCATGAGATCATGAGCTGAACAGAAACCCAAGAGTTGGATCAAGACACCCAGGCACCCCCATGTGTGTTTTTTTTTAAGATTTTATTTTATTTTGGGGAGAGAGCATGAACATGTGAGGGGGGGGGCGAGAGAGAGAGAGAGAGAGAGAGAGAGAGAGAATCCCAAGCAGGCGCAACGCCTCAGCACAGAGCCCAACATGAAGCTCAAGCTCATGACTGTGAGATCATGACCTGAGCTGAAATCAAGAGTTGGACGCTTAACCTATTGAGACACACAGGTGCCCCAATAAATCATGTTTTAATGCAGTATTTTTAAAAATAAAAATTAATGCAAAAAAGTCCATAATGAACAGAATATCAACATTTTGAATGAAGCTGGTGTCAGTACTGCCTGCCAAGTTGTCCCTTTGTGTCAGGCTCCAATGTGGCTGGCATGGGGTAGAGCGTTACAACACACCACTCACTCGGATGCTCCAGGCTCTGGACACCCCAGTGACCCCCTGCTGCCTCGTGACCTCAGTACTCCTCAACATGCACATTTTCTTACCAGGCTTCCTCCACTGAGTGGCTTGACAAGCGCCACCTCTGTGCCTTCTGTTCCCGGGGCCACAGTACTCAGCCCCTCCCTCCACCTATGCAGATCCTTCCAAGCCCAACCCATCTCACTCTTCTATGAAGCCTCTCTAACCACCCTAACGCCCCCACTCCCCTTTATCTGTGAGCAATGACTCTGCCCTTCTCTGAAATGCTGCTTCACTTATGTGTGCTCTCCTTAGCATTCTCAGGGACAGTCCCTTGCTATTTCAAGTCTGTCTGTCCTGTTCCTCGACTAGATTTTATGCTCCTCAAGAGCATGTTGTATATGTCTTGCATCTTCCGGAGCTCCGTTATACTTGGCTTTCAGTAACTACTGGCTGTGATTGGTTAACTGATGGATGTGACTGATTAAAAAGTGAGAAGTAAATATAAAAAATAAACGAGGTCTTGAAGGATTGCTGAAGATGTGCAGATAAAAACCAGTGAAGGAAGGACACTTCAAGCAGAAGATGGCAAGCCATGCACGATCACATCTTATTTGGAAAACTGATTACTGAATATAGCTACGGCAGAGAATGAAGGGAAAGGAACTGTGGAAATGAGCTGGTATGAGCAGTGGTCAGACCACTGGAAGCCACGGAGATTTAAAAAAGAGAACGATCAGGGGTGCCTGGGTGGCTCAGTCGGTTAAGCGTCTGACTTTGGCTGTTTGTGAGTTTGAGCCCCGCATCGGGTTCCGTGCTGACAGCTCGGAGCCTGGAGCCTGCTTCAGATTCTGTGTCTCCCTCTCTCTCTGTCCTTCCCTTGCTCATGCTCTGTCTCTCTCTTAAAAATAAACATTAAAAATAATTTTTTAATGGGGCGCCTGAGTGGCTTAGTTGGTTGAGCGTCCGACTTTCGCTTGGGTCATGATCTTGCGGTTCGTGGGTTCGAGCCCCGCATCGGGCTCTGTGCTGACTGCCAGCTCGGAGCCTGGAGCCTATTTCAGAATCTGTGTCTCCCTCTCTCTCTGACCCTCCCCTGCTCATGCTGTCTCTCTCTTTCTCTCTTAGAAATAAAATAAATAAATAAAATAAAATAAGTTTTTAAAAGATTAAAAAACAACAAAAAAGAGAACGATGTGGTCAGGTGTCCATTTCTGAAGGCTGACTCTGTAGCAGAATAGAAAAACACTTCAGAAGGAGAAGAGACCAGAGGTACAGAGGTCAGCTAGAGTGGTGGCAGGCACTAATCCAAGCACGTGAGATCTGTTAACACATTTAATCCTCACAATGAATTATTATTCCTATTTTACCAGTGAGGAAACTAAGGCACAGAGAAGTTATAAAACTTGACCAAATCATCTAACAGGTGGCAGACCCCAAATCAGAATGCATGCCATGTGGCTTCCGAGTACACACCTTAAGGACTGCACTATAAAGGGGGAAAGGATGAAAATGACTTTGTCCCTACATTCCTAAGGGGAAAATAAAATCTATTCACACTGCACAGAACTCTAATTTTATGGTTAACTGATTCAATTAATTGTGCATATGGATCTGTAAGCAAAGACCTACGTTATCTTGGATCTAAAGTTTCTGATTAACTAACATCATGACAGAACATAAGGTTTTGAAATACTTCTAAACACTACAACATAACTTAAGTCTGAACATAACTAAGGACTTCAAGATCTACCTCAATTACAAGTCACAGCAGAATGGTGCCTTTCTTTTCTCTTCTCCTCTATTAAAGAAAAAGAAGTGAATAGGGAGTTCAACTAGATAGAAACAGGGAGCAGGAAATATTAGAGGAAGGAAATTAAACAGACTAAATGAAAGAAACCAATTTCCAGCTCTTTCTGTAAAATTAAGATTTCTGTCCAATTCACAGACTTAGGACTCTGAAGGAACTGAAGTCCTTTAAAAAGTTCTAGTCTAACCTCTCATTTTATGCAAGACGAGTGAAGCACAGACAGGCTGAGCTGCTCCCAGTCAGGACAGAGACCAGAATCCAAGTTGGTTCTGCTCTGTTATCAACTCACTGTGCAGTCCACAAACGCTGGCTCTTTATCTTATTCCCTGTTTCACTCCGGCACCTAAATTAATGCCTAATTGACACATAATCAGTTCTCAGTCAAGAGCTGTTGCACGCACACATGATTCACAGATGACAAATATTCTGGAGTTCTATTAAAAGAATTTAAAGGTACTTGGTACAGTCACTAAATTTCAGGTTGATGTCATATATACCACATTGGACAATATGTCCATATAATTCTAACAGTACAGTCTTCTGATTCTTTCTTCATTGATCCTTTCCTGTTTGACTATACATGAGTCACAGAGCTTCTCTATGCCTTTGCTTCCTCTTAACTGAATTAAAAATAATATAGGGTTGCTATGTGAAA